GTAGGTGTGGAAGTATGAGATGGAAGGAGGTGGGTGTGGAAGGGGGTGTGAGATGGACGCAGGTGAGTGTGAGAGGTGGGTGTGAGAGGTGAGTGTGGAAGGAGGTGAGTGTGAGAGGTGTGAGATGGAGGGAGGTGAATGTGAGAGGTGGGTGTGGAAGGTGGGTGTGGAAGTGAGTGTGAGATGGAAGGAGGTGGGTGTGAGGTAGGTGTGAAAGGATGTGTGTTTGTGCAAGGCTGGTGTGGACAGAGATGTGCATGTGCAATGAGGAGCCTGGGCATGTGTACACGCACCAGGCATTTGTGGCAGAGGAGGTACTCGTGTGTGTCGCCATCGTGAGGGGGCAGGAGAGGCCACCCTGGTCGGAGGCCCCATCTGTGCCACACTAGGGAAAGCAGTGCCTGTGCGTCTCCATTCACCAGCCCCCTGGAGCTGAAGGGTCCACTGTGGGGCTCTGTTGAGGGGCCAGGTCAAGGACACAGGGACTCTGCTCGTGCCCACCAAGGGCCATAACTGATGGCTGCTGTGCTCGGCCTCTTCCAGGTGTCAGGGGGGCAGGGGCCACAGAGCGCTCCGCCAGGAGGCAGGAAGGAGAATGCCCAGGAGCAGAACAGAGATGCAAGAGAGAGGCACAGGCCAGACAGGGGCCTGCGAATATGGCTGCCACATTCATTCCCAGGGTCATGGCTAAGGCTGGGGAGGTGCCGGGACTGTCAGCCCCTCGAGCTGTGTCTGGCCAGTCAGGAGCAGCATGATCCTGCCATGACCCTCCAGAAAAGTGATGCGGCCGACCAGCAAGACACGGAGGGGAGCCTGAAGTCTCCAGACCTGTCCCTCTGTACCCATCTCAGTGGAACCCGTTTTTTGAAGATAGCAGCCTGAATCAGGACTCTAAACTGTAGAACAGAAACAGAGAGCCCCCTCAGGTCTAACTGTCCCAGAAGCTGGCATGAAAGCTCTGAGTGGAACCCGTTCCTAACACGCCCTCCTGCAGGCTCCCGGGAGAGTTTCTAGAGCTGCTGGGGACTTCTTCACATGGGGTCAAAGGGGCTGAACTGGGGTACTCAGAGATAATGGAGGGGGCACTTTAACTCATCTGCTTGCTAGGACTGCCCTGCTACATAAAGAGGGAAGCAGAGCCCCCAGAGCAAGTCCAGAAAAATGCACACACAGCACGAACACACATACACACACTCTCTCCCTCCCTCCCTCTGTCTCCTGGGTTAGAAAGTGAGACCTCTGCCCCACAGGCTTTGGGTTGCCACCCCTCTCTGGGCCTCGCTGTCGCCATTATGGAATGAGGGTCCGCAGAAGTGATCACCTGCCCCTTCCACCTCTGGGGTTTTATGATTCTATGAACTGCTTCATCAGAGACTTAAGACTGGCATCTCAGCTACTAGATTTTTGAATAATCAAGGTCATTTCCACCGAAATAAACATTTACGGAGGGATCCTGCAGCCTCCTCCTCTTTGGAAGAGTCAGTATGTTCCCTTTGGAAAGTTGGAGGTCAGATTAGCTGGTGGTCCACTGGGGACAACCTGCACCTCTGTTCTGCTCCTGGCCACCCCCAAGCCCCCTACTGAGCTGGGCGCTAGCCTTCCTTGTCACCTTTGTCACAAGAACACTCTGAGCGGCATGGGGCACAGATATGGTCGTTCTCCAGAACAGTTTAGCCAATTATTTGGATTGAGTCTCCAGAGAAACATACTGAAGAACCGCTTCCTTGTGTTTCTAGTTTTTATTTCAGTCTAGCAAGGAACGTTCTTTGAGACTTTCAAAGCTTGTTTGCTCATCCATGAAATGGGGTACATGACATGTTTGCAAGAGATGCACTCAGAACAGGGGAGCCCCCAAATCCCAGAACAGCACTGTGGCTACATTTCCGGCGTTTGCTAAATGTCTGAGTGCCTCCTTAGGTAGAAATACTGCATTTGGAGAGAGAAATCACTGTTCATGCCACCCCACAGGCTCCTGGCTTAGGCAGGCTAGGTATGCTTCTTAGCCAGAGACCTGACCCCACACCAGCTGCAGCCCCAGCTGCAAAATGGTGCCACTGGCCCACGGCCACCTGGTAAGCATTAGGGAGCATCCAATGAGTGAGTGTCAAAGCTCTCTCTTGCCCACAGCCCGTGTTGCTATGATTCTGTGAGGTCAGGTCTTCCCGTGCCTGGTATGGCCATAATCGCTGCTCAAGACAATCTGTTCTTCTACAGGAAAAGCGGATCCTCCTCAGTCTTCCCTATGGTTCTCCTCTAACTCCGCTCATGGTGTATAATTAGCAGGCGCCAAGGGCAAGGTGGGATCTGGGTACATTAAAGCATCCCCAGACACCTGAGATCACTTAGGGGGTGCTCGTTACAAGTGAGGTGAGGACTCACGGCTGAGGGTCCCTACTCTCTGCCAGACCACCACAGATACTATAAATTCTGGGTCTGTGCAGAGCTGTTCTGATTTTTATACAGAAAACTATTACCCAGTCAACACTCCAGGCCCATAAAACTAAGCAAATACAGGAGAGGTGTTTGGTGAAGCCTTGAGAGCCTGTCTGAATTGTGAATTTTTTCCCTTTGAAGTCAGATGTCCCCAAAGAACCCTTATGAAACAGTTTATTGACTAACATGGAATATGCAAAAATGTTTATGTGCCTGAAGAGGCATCTCCCTGTCCCTGCCAAGTGTGTCCTGGGGGTGTGGCTCTGCCACTGAGGAACTAAGGTCCTTTGCAAGAAAACCTGAAGAACCTTTGCTCTGAGCTCGGTACCAACCATCCCATGCATGACACCCGCAGGGGTTTTGAAGTTAACAACAGGGCCCCCTCCTCCCAGCTGGCCCCAGCCAGAAGGAGATCCTCCTCAAACTGTGAAGGCCCAAATTAAGGCAGAAACCCCTCCCCATCCCCCTGTGGGGAGTCTCCTTGTCCTGAAGAAAGAGCTGCACAGGGTGTCCCTCTCCCCTGTGTTCTGAAAACAAGAAATGGATTTATCCCAAATCTAGGAGGGGCTCAGGAATCAGCAACATTTCAATTACGGTTTCAATCGCTTACAGTAGAGAATGGCACACAGAGTTCGTTATGGTACCAACATGAGTCAGCTGGTAGTGGTGGCCTGGAACGAGGGAGGGGAAAGAGTCTGACGCTACCTGTGGCTCTACAGGAAGAGTCCTGTCATTGATTAATGATGTCTGCCATGAGTATGGAAGGGGTAGAGGAGCACGTGTCATGTACTTTCACCCCTGACTGGGGAAGAGGCTGTAGGTGATACAGTATTCTTCAGGGGCATGGTGTGAGGACAGGCAAGCTACGCCACAAGGGAAATGGTTTGTGGTTACCCTTTTCCAGAGTTGTTTTCACGCGCTCCAGGAGACTCCAAAGTCTAAGGTGGTGGCTGGGAATGGGCCCTGGCCTCAGGCTGCCTGCTGCTTAGCTCCCGCCAGGAGCAGCCACAGCTGCTCATCAGACCCTGCCTATCCTGTCCTGCCTCTTTGGGTCCCAGAATCCTCCTGTGCACAGGATGTCATGGGAAAGGCATGAGGGTTAATGACACACGACACTCAAAGAGCATCACATTCTGACTCTAAGAAGGCGTTCAATAAACTTCTGTGAAAAGATGTTACTCTTATTCCTACCTGTGGTCCCTGTGGCCACTTAGCGGACCTTGCTAAGCCTTAGTTTCCCTGTGTCGTATGGAGCAAATAATGGCATTTGCTGCTGTCCCTGGAATGATGAGGGAACACCAAGGGGCCACACAGATTACAAGTGCCCCGCCCACTGTAAGGGCACAATTAAATCCTGTCTTTGTATTAAAAAAACAAAATTAAAGACCACGCTTTATTCAGATTCCCTCAGTTTTCCCTTCATGTCCCTTTTCTGCTCTGGGAGTCCCAGGGAGGACCCCAATGACATTTAGTTGTCATGCCTCCTTAGGCTCCTCTGAGCTGTGACGGTTTCTTAGATTCTCCTTGGTTTTGACCTTGAGCGTGGGGAGGACTGGCCAGGTACTTTGTAGCTTGTCCCCCTGCAGGGATTTGTCGGATCTTTTTCTCACGATTGGAATGGGGTGATGGGTTACTGGAAGATCACAGAGGTAAAGTGTCATTTTTATTTGCCTTACCAGGGGATCATTCTGTCAAATTGGCTTCTTGCTGTTGATGTCGACCTTGACCACCTGGCTGAGGCTGTGGGTCTGGTTTCTCCATTGCAAAGCTATTCCTGCCCCCTCCATACACTGCTCTCTGGAAGGACCTGGCTGTGCACAGCCCACACTAAGGGAGTAAGAAGTTATGCTCTGGGTCCTTGAGGCTGGGGTCTCTACAGACGTTATTTGGTCCTATTCTGCCTGGGAGGCTTTCCTCTTCTCTAGCCACGGTATGCTTGTCATTCTTATGCGCTGCAAAAGATTCTTCCTGTTGCCGTAATGGAGGACAAGCTGTACAAAACCCTCAAAGCTCCTTAACCAGAATCTCAACCCCAGTTCCTGGCTGTCAGGCTGCGCCAACCCTATTCCCCAAATCTGTGCCAACGCAAAAGGCCAGGGAGGTGCACGGGGCCTCGTGTTCTGGGCACCATGGTCTGGATGTTGGGCAGAAGGACTCACCATGTTATGCTTGAGGATTCGCTGCACCACGGGGGTGAACACCTCGATGACCACCATGGACCGGGGCCGCTCTCTGCAGTGCTGGGGAGAGAGTGGGGTACAGTTACCGCGGGCCTAACAATGTTCTGTGGCTGCTAGCAGGGCTGGGGACAGCGAGCTCAGCTGTGGGCGCCTGGGTACCCTTGATGAACAATGTTGTACAGCTTTCTAAAAAAACAAGTTGATTGTGGAGGATGGCCAGTTCTAGGTTCAGAGCGGAATAGAGAGGAAGGTAGAGAGCTTTCCCATATACCCTCTGCCCTCAGCCTCCCCTACTATCACTGCACGTATCACGGTTAATCATGGGGTTGGGGCATTCCAGGCCCTGAAATGTATCCTGGGCACTCGGCCAGCAGGCGTGTGGGGCATGGAAAAGGAATCCTGGTGGAGAGATGGGGCCCAAAGGACAACAATCCTGTTTCCCTTTCCTGACCCCTGACATACACAGAGGACTCCGGGAAGCGGGGAAGGTGCACCACGGCCCCCTTTCCTCCCAGGTGCTTGCGTTTCCACCCCACAAGCTGAAAAAGGACACTGTGGTGTCACTAATGTGGCACGTATCCCTGCAGTGCACCTGTTACAGTGGAGAACCCCACACTGACACACCACTGTTACCCAGAGTCCACAGCTGACTCCAGGGTTCATGCTTGGTGCTGTCCTTACAAATGTCTAATGTCATGGATCCACCACTGTCCTATCATAGGAAGTCGTTTCACTGCCCGAAAAATCCTCTGTGCTCGGCCAATTCATCCCTCCCTCCCCCAGCCCCTGGCAACCACTGATCCTTTTACTGTCTCTGTAGTTTTGCTTTTTCCAGAATGTCCTGTAGTTAGAATCACGTGGTGTGCAGCCCTGCAGACGGGCTCCTCTCACTCACTAACATGCATTTAAGGTTCCTCCTTTCTCTTCATGGTCTGCTAGCTCATTTCATTGTCTGAATGTTCCATAGTTTATTTATCCAGTCACCCACTGGAAGGCATTTTGGGTGCTTCCAGGTTCTGGCAGTCATGAATACAGCTGCTGTAACATCTACGTGTAGATTTCTGTGTGGACAGGTGTGTTTAACTCACTTGGGGAAACATCTACGAGTGCCAATAGTTTAAAACATTTTTTATTCTTTTTTTTTTTTTTTGGAGTTAAAAAAGTAGATGAGATGAGAGCTTCTGTTTGCTTTTTGTTTGGTTTTGAACTGAAAACTTGAGGCTGTTTCAGACGGTACACACGGGAGTTTTGACATGGTCCTTATTTAATACCTAACGAGACTTTTGCAAAGCTAAGATTCTGCATGTTTCCAAGATCTGAAAGGTCTTGGAACCTGGGTATGACAATACGAGGGCTTCCGCATTTGAACACCAGGGTGTTGACGATTCTGCGACTTGTCAATTGGTGGGTATAGCAGGTGGGGGCGGTCTGCAGGCCCAATTCATCACCAGTGTGGTGTTTTGTTTTCAGATTGGAAAGGAAGCTCCTCAGGCCGTGCTGACACGGCCTGGCCACTGCCTCACGTCCTGCACACATTTATAGCCCACCTGGCCCTGGAGGAGGATGCTGAACCTGGGATATGAGAAATCAGGGCTCCCCTGAGAGAGCAGGATGAATGAACTTTCCTCAGACCCTGGAATCTGGCAGGAGTGTGGCGGGGCGGACACAGCAGAGGCTTGGTCCCCTCAAGCTCTCCTCTCTCAGCTTCAGACCCCAGCGGGAAAACAGCTGAAGGTGAGTCCCACACGGCTGGGACCCGCCTCACTCCAAAAGGCAGACGGCCCTCTTTTGAACACCCACACAGGACTATAGCAGAGAATACCCCAAAGGAGAGCTCTTTCTACCTCACCCCTTTTCAAACTGTGCTGCCAGGAACCCTCAGGTCAGAAATACGGCGAGGCAAGTGTTTCTTGTTCTACAACAAATACCTGGTGTTCTAGAACCCAAGTTTGAGAATCAGGCGATCTGGGAGAAATCGTAAGTTTGAGAGGCAAGCATGGGGCACGTTTGGGTTAAACTGGACAGAAGATGGAGGAGGTGACCTGCTGTGACAGACAGAGGAGCAACCAGCTGCTCTCTCAGGACGTGGGCTATTTAACTCCACTCTGCAGGGGGTATGATATTCATGAGTTCTGGGGGCAGAGAAAGCCCTTGTGTGCCCTGAGGAGCCCAGGGCCTGTGTGTATCCACACCTGTATGTGTGTACACACACACACACACACACACACTCGTGGGCATTCACCCCCTGGGCCAGGGGGCACTCACTGTGCATGCCCACGTTAAGGATGGGGGGTGGAGGTTGTCCAGACCCTGACAGGTACCCTGGGCACTCAGGCCAGTGGGCGCGTGGATCACTGGAGAAGGAGCCCCGACAGGGAGGCAGACTCCAGGAGGACAATGGAATCTTGTCTCCCTTTCAAAGCCCTCATCCCCTGACACACACACAGAGGACTCCCTGGATGGGGGCAAGGGAAATCAAGTACAGCATGGTCCCCTGCCCTCCCGGGGGCCTGCTGTTCCACCCCACAGGACAGTCCCATTGGTGGACACAGTCCACGCCTCCCCAAAGGACAGCAGGTGACCTTGGCAAGAGGCTGGTAGTGGGAGTGGGGAGGGATGAAGACCAGCTGAACAGGGCAACAGGGGCATGACAGGGGAGCGCTGGAGACGTGTCTTTCCAAGGACATCAAATTATTACACTAAAAAAGCCACACAGCAAAGAACAATACAGGTCTGTGTGCTGGTTCAGCCTGAGATGTGAAGATGTGCTCTGGGAAGGAGAAATGCCTGGTCCCCATGTGCCCTGGGTGGGCATGTCCTATGTGAATCCCACTGCAAGGCTGGCGCCAGGTACCTGGGAGTGGATGCCCTGCTCCACGGCTCCTCTAAGCCAACCCGTTTTCAGGGAAAGCCCTGCAGCCGCACCCCACCGTGGGCCAGCCGCTGCTCAGAGGGGCCTTGGCTAATAATAACCAGCTCTGACGTCAGGAGCCCAGAAAATCTGCAGCAACCTGTCTCCCAAGACAGCCAGGAAGCGATTCCAAGGAAAAGCAAGATGCTCCCTCCAACTCTTTGTCACCTGTTTGGCAGAGAGGTGGGTGTAACCCTAAGAATGGGTGCCTGGCACGCCCTCCGCCTGTGTCTGGGACCCTGACCCAAGATGGTAGGGCCCAGGTTTTCAGACTGTCTGTGCAAACCCAACCCCCGGTGTGCACACCCAGAGGCAGGTTCATTCCTGCAGTCACAGCCCCAGCTTAGCAAGCCCATACCTTGCAAAAGAATTCACAGAGATCTGGTGGTGGGTGGTTGTTTTCCAGCAAAGGAGCGATTGCCTGAAAGACAACGAACAACGATCAGGAACCTCAGGGGAGACGGCCACGAAAGGACCTAGAACAAGCTCCAGGCCATACTGTTAAGTGAAAAAAATAAATGCAGAACGCCACATCCTGCATCACATCATTCATCTAAAAGCAAACAAAACCCCCCAAAAACCCACAATCATATCTGTCTGTGTGGGTCTGTCATTACCTGACAACAAGGTGTTTCTGAAGAGGGCACTGGGATGGGATGAAATCCTCTTTTCCTGATGAAAGCATACTCATGAAATACTTGCAAAATTGGCTGGGTGCGGTGGCTCACGGCTGGAATCCCAGCACTTTGGGAGGCCAAAATAGGCGGCTCACCTGAGGTAAGGAGTTCGAGACCAGCCTGACCAACATGGTGAAACCCCATCTCTACCAAAAATTAGCCGGGCGTGGTGGCGGACGCCTATAATCCCAGCTACTAGGGAGGCTGAGGCGTGAGAATCACTTGAAATCAGGAGGTGGAGGTTGTAGTGAGCCAAGATCACGCCACCGCACTCCAGCCTCAATGACAGAGCAAGACTCCGTCTCAAAAAAAACTTACAAAATGATATTTTAAATAAAATTAAAAGTTCTGTCACAGCTGGTATGGCTGGGGCCTGGGTCTGAACACGATTCTGAACTTGAACCTGGATTCAGCTTTACGCCCACGTTCTTCGCCGCCATGGTGAGCGCCCTCCAAGGTGAGACGGAGCATGGCTGGGGTTTGGACTCCTGGTCCATGACCAACAACGGCTACTATTGCCTGGTCAGTGGAATGAATAAAACCAACTCAAGCTATAGTAGAATAATCAGCACATAAAAAAATACCACGCACCATTGGGAGAAGACTAACTGCCAACAGGGCAAAGAGGATTTGGCTGCTGGAACGAAAGGAGGCACCAGAAGACTTCCTAGTAATGACAACAGCAATAGTAACGAAAGAACACTGAAAGGCGAGCCTGTAAAATGCAGGGGTGAGGGTCACACCCTCAGATCACATTCTTTCCTGTTCTCAGGCATTCCTGCTGAGCCGGGAAGCTCAACCTGATCCAATTAAGGGTTCAGTTCAGCCACATTAACTGGATAAAGGCAGCCTGGATTTCTCAGATCAAAATTTCTTTCCCAGCCTTGCCCTGAATGTAAGGCCTTGTCCTCCGTCCAGGGCTTCCAGGCACTCAGTGGGACCCACAGGTGTTGCTGGCAGGGAGAAGGCAGCCCTTGCTTCCTACCTCTCACGTTCGCTCCTGGCTCTGCAGCAGCCAGTCTCACCACTTTGCCTTTGTCCATGTCAGTCACCCTGCCTGGACTGCCTTCCCCAGCTTGCTCCATTTACCTGACATTCTCCTATCTATCCTTTAAGATGCAGCTTGGACACCTCCTCCTGGAAGTCCTCCATCATTATCCTCCCAGTCCCCTCCCTGACAGAGGGTAAGGATCTGTCCTCTGTGCCCCCCTAACACCCAGAACAAGCCTCAGCCCTTGGCCATGTTGTCTTTTTATTATCTGTTGACCTGCCAGGTTCTCTCAGGACACATTCAATCCTCAAAGGCAGGGTTCATGTCTTGCAGCTCTCTATCTGTGGGACTGAGTTAGTGTCTAGCACATACTTATATTCACAAGCTTAGCAAAGTTTGTTATATGAATTGATTAATTAAAATTAAGCCAGACAAAGGTGGTGGTAAGTGATTGGGCACACTCAAGTTGACTTGTCCTCCTGTTCTGGCAAGAGAAGGCAATGGACGGTCAGGGTGAGAGCATGGAGAAAACGTCTCTACTGTTAGAAAACATCCAGAGTGCCGGCTGGGCGCGGCGGCTCACGCCTATAATCCCAGCACTTTGGGAGGCCGAGGTGGGTGGATCACGAGGTCAAGAGATTGAGACCATCCTGGTCAACATGGTGAAACCTCGTCTCTACTAAAAATACAAAAATTAGCTGGGTGTGGTTTCGCAGCCTGTAGTCCCAGCTACTCGGGAGGCTGAGGCAGGAGAATTGCTTGAACCCAGGAGGCAGAGGTTGCGGTGAGCCGAGATCATGCCATTGCACTCCAGCCTGGGTAGCATGAGTGAAACTCCGTCTCAAAAAAAAAAAAAAAAAACCAGAGCGCCAACTATGTGCCAGACACGAGCTGAGAGCAAACGCAGAAGCTGCTACTTGACTCTCCACAGCCAAAGGCCTGGGGCTCACCTCATTTTGTGCATACAGGAACAAGCTCAGCTTGTCAGGGCGGAGTAGGTGGGTCCCCCAAGGCCCTGATTCAGCTATAGGAGCCTGAGGGGCCTAGTGACCGATGCCGCCCTTGTTCTGTACTTGCAGCCAGGAGACACCCCAGGCAGGTTAGTTCCAAGGTCCCCTCCTGGGCACAGCAAGGCTCTGCCTCTTGCTTCTATTTCATCTCCCATCCGCTTGCTTCTCATTCCCTTATGCTTTATGCTCCAGCAATGCTGACGCTTCTAGAACACACCATGCTGCTTTCAATCTTTGTGCCCTTGCACATTTTGTTTCTTCTCCCTGGAATGCTTTTATCCCATTTTGCCATCTGGCAAACTCCTATTGATCCTTCAAAACGCAGCTCAGATACCACTACCTCCAGGAAGCTTTCTGACTCCTTTCCCAGGTGAGTTTATCACTCTGCTCTCTGCATTCAGTGTCTATTTTTGGGATGATCAATCACCTTTGTCTTTCTATAATAGGCGATGAGCTCCTTGGGGACTAAGTTATCTGTGGATTCAAATACACAGCACGGTGCTTGGCACCTAGCAGGTGCAATTTCATTTCTTTCTTCTCTCACGTGAGAGTTAGGTTTTGTAGCTAAAAGTCACCCAGGAAGATGCTTTACCCCAAAGATGCTTACATCATGGTTGAGTCCCATAGCACCTCACTTTATGGAGCACAGGAAATTAAACCCAAGTTCTATTTGTGTATTAACTGGGAGACATGTCCTGGGGCAAGAAAGAGAACGTTCCTTTCAGCTAATGGGGTGATGCCTCTAAATAAATTATATGGTCTCTGCCATCTCCTGCCGTCAACTCCCTAGGCAGACTCAGGAAGGGGGAGGCGATTAAGAGACATTTGCTACAAATCTCAAAGACAGATAATTATACTCCCTCTCCTACCAAGTGGGGCTCTGAAATGTGCAAAGGCAGAGGGAGATGCGACTGGCTTGCTAGAAAAGACAAAAGGAAGCAAGGCCAGATGCTAGTGGGTTACAACTGGCGCCAGAATTACCCCACACCAGGACAAGGACTGTGGGCTCCAGGAAGCGGAGGTGGTGGAGGGAGCGTTTGGAGAGGAACTTACCACGATGATGTTTTCATGCTCCTGGGTGGTCAAGTTTGTGTTCTAAAGGAGTGAATGGAGAAACCAGGAGGAAAACAAAAGAAAAGAAAATTAAGAAAACGAGTATTTGGACTTCAAGATCCACAATTTCGAAACATCTTCAGCGTCACAGACCAAGTGTTACTGTCATTTTTTTCTTAATTAAACAGATCAGAACACCCTCAGAGGCAAGGTTGGGAAGAGGGAAAATTGTAGCTTTGGGGCAGGGAGACCTGAGTTCTTGTTCCTGTTACAGGACTTGAGTTATGTGACCTTGGGTGAGTCGAGTCTGGGGGAGACTCAGTTTCTGCTTTGGTAAATAGGGTTCCCAGTAACCATACCTCATTAGGCTGCTGGGAGAGGATCTGGCCCTTGTCAAAGTGAAACTGCTTAGAAGCCGGAAGGCAGGCTCATGATAAACATGTAAAGAAACACCTTGTAAGGGTCCTAAGGCTGTGCCAGGCAGCCTTTCAGGAGTAACACACACATGATTTCAGTGCTCCTCAAACTAAGTTCTGTGAGTGCGTCCGAGAGGTTTTAGCTGAATTCAAATTCTAGCAGCTGACTTGCAAAAACAGAATTAGGCTGAATGGATTACATTTGCTGATATTTTAGGGGTCTTCTTTCCCCCCACCAATCTGGACTTTTCTTAAATAACTGGTAACTGTTACAGGTTGAACATCCCTTACTGAAATGCTTGGATTTCTCTTTTTTTTAAATTTTGGAATATCTGCATTATACTTAACCAGCTGAACATCTAATCTGAAAATCCAAAACCTGAAGCTCTCCAATGAGCATTTCCTTTGAGTGTCACGTCGGTGCTTAGAAAGTTTCGGACTTTGGGCTGGGCGTGGTGGCTCATGACTGTGATCCCAGCACTTTGGGAGGCTGAGGAGGGCGGACTGCTTGAGGCCAGGGGTTCAAGACCAGCCTGGCCAACATGGCGAAACCCCGTCTCTACTAAAAATACAAAAGTTAGCTGGGCGTGGTGGCGGGCACCTATAATCCCAGCTACTCGGGAGATTAAGGCAGGAGGAAAGCTTCAACCCAGAAGGCGGAGGCTGTAGTGAGCCGAGATTGTGCCACTACACTCCAGCCTGGGCGACAGAGCGAGACTATCTCTTAAAAAAAAAAGGAAAGAAAGCTTTGGACTTTGTAGCATTTCAGGTTTCTGGACTAGGGAGGCTTGACCGTGCCACCACGTGTGAGCACATGAACAAGGAAAGGGACGAATGTCCAACAAACAAGTAATCAGCAAAGGCTCAAAGCTCCCACCCTTCTTTCTTGCTAGTTTCGTGGTATGTTCTGCTTTGCTTGTCTGTTTTGCTGGACACAGGCCTTCAGTGGCGCCAATTCATATTTCCTAACAGAGCCACATTCGCTGCTTGTAAAGAGACCCTTCATTTGATCAGTGTTAGCGAGTTGGACTGTTCTGGTTCTAGACAGAGCCCTGTGGCTCCCACCTCCCGGACCGGCTTAAGGCATACGGGGGTAACTAATGTGTTTATAGCAGCCAAGGCAAAAGAAAAGTTCATGAGCCATGATTTGCTTTTGCCCAATAAGCTGGCTCCCCGAGGGCTGCAGGAGGCTGTGAAGCCAGGCAAGCATTTGAACACGAGTCTCTACAGGTCCCCCTGAGACGTCTTGACCTAGGTGAGGCTGGACCCAAAATACTAGAATCCGCACGGGAAAGGAGGTTTCTTGGATTTGAACATTTCTTTAGTGGAGTCTGAGCAGCCTGTTTATGGTAGATTATTAAATATCAGTCATTTTCAGCCTAGGGGGAAGCCTGGCCTTGGTCTCTCCTTAGGACTGCTGATGAGCTCGCTCTGCCTCGGGCACTGTGTAAGAACACTGTTTTGCTCATGCCACCAATTTCTTTTGATTATGACAGGTTCTCTACTAACCCATTGACTGATCAGCTGCCTGAGACTGACGGGGTGCAGTGACTAGCATGTTTAAGGTAACAGGGGATGGGGTGAGGATCTGAACCCCTGTCTGTCCTGACTCCAGTCTATTTCCTACCGCTGAGTTCCAGTGCTCCACGACACATCCAAGAGGCAGTTCCTTATCTCGGGCTGCCAAGGGCAGCTTGACAAGCCCATCCCTGGCTTCCGCCCACGCACCTTTCCAGGAAGGCTTTGGTGACTATGGACACCACTTCCTCTGTCCCAGTCACAGGGCAGCCCATGCATTGTGCAGGGAGCCTTCTCTCCGCCAGAGCCATTTCCACCCCCGGTGGAGCATGTCCACTAATAGCCACTGCATTAGAGGCAACACTTGACTCCCGAGCTGAGTGGCCACTCTACATACAACTTAACAAAGGTCTGGGAGGGCAGGGACAGCCGGCTTGGCTTTGCCGGTGGATGGACAGTTCTTTCTCAAAATTGTTTTGCGTCCTTAACAGCTCCCTCCACGATGCCCCTCTGCCCGCTCCCCCTTCCACTTTCTGGTCGGTTTGGTGATGCTTGGGACCTCTCCAGAGGAGGCCTTGCAAACAACCTGAGTAAACAGAACAGAGAAAGAACCCGGCCCCAAAACAGGGCACGCAGGTTGAAGGCAGGTGTTTGTTTTTCCAGCTACCCTCTCTAGACACCTGGCTGAGGGCGCTTGTGGGGTTCAGACCACAGGATCCCTTATGACAATGAAAATGTGGCCATTTATCAAAGACCCTTGCATGTGAGGCACAGTGCCAAGCGCTTTATGGGGATGACAGCATCTTATCCTCAATTCTATGACATGGGTACTAGTTTCAGACCCCATTTACAGAAAACAACTGTGCCCAGAGAGGCCTAGCAACTTGTCTAAGGCCACTCAGCTACTGAGGGCAGGACAAGGTCCTTTTCTACAACACATACCCTTAATCTACACAGTTACATACTTGCCAAAAAGTCTCTAGCAACCCAGGTTTGTGCCACATCTATGTGCAGGGGTGTGAGCTTCACCACTGGGCAGACCCGGGCGAGGGTCCTGGCCCACCACTTATCTGACTGGCCCTGTGTAAGCTACTTAACCTCTCGGCACCCCCGGTTGCTCCTCTGTACATTTTTATACTTACCTTGCAGGATCCTTGGAGGAAACTGGGGAGGTCTAAGGTCATCAAACTGACCAGTGCAGAGTATGCATGAGTGGATGCCGGGGCAGGCAGCCTGGGCTGGAGTCCCAGCTCTGTCGCTCCCTAAATGCCAGCTCTCTTCAGCTCTCTTCAGTAAAGTAAAGTGAGTAATGTTGACTCCCTGCCTGACACAGTAGGCTCAAAGCACATGGAAACTTCTTCCATTTTCCTACTTCAAATGTCATTATTCCTCCATCCTAGAACTTAGGGGTCAGCTGCCTTTGAGATTTTTACTTTAAAGCCCAAGAAGGGGCTAGGTGTGGTGCCTCGTCCTGTAATCCCAGCACTTTGGGAGGCCAAGGTGGGAGGACTGCTTGAGCCAGGAATTTGAGAACAACCTGGGCAACATAGTGAGACCCCACTGGTTATTAAAAAACAAAACAAACAACAACAAAAAAACACTCAAGGAGGCATGTGAAGGCCAAGGGGCATGCGGTCACCTGAAGCACATCTGAGATGGGAAAAAATCTCACACAAGGCTGGCAATGGGGCACATCTGCTGCCTTCAGCACTGCGCTGATTTAATGAGGGTGTGGTGGTGGGTGGCGCTGCAGGGGTGGCCAAGTTGGTCTCAAAAGCCCTTGGCAGCCCTAAGGTGGAACTTCTAGCTCCATTACAAACTTGCCATGTGAGTCGGGCTCAGTATCACTGGGCCTCAGTTTCCTCATCTGTGAAGTGAAGACAGCAATGCCCATCTTGGAGGGAGAATGTGAGTTTTAAAAGATAGGCTGTCTCATTTTGGGAGGCTGAGGCAGGTGTCTCACTTTGGGAGACCAAGGCAAGTAGACCACTTGAGGTCAGGAGTTCAAGATCAGCCTGGCCAACATGGTAAAACCTTGTCTCTACCAAAAATACAAAAAATTAGCTGGGCATAGTGGCACACGCCTGTAATCCCAGCTACTTGGGAGGCTGCGGCAGGAGAACTGCTTGAACCTGGGAGGGGGAGGTTGCCGTGAGCCGTTGCGCCACTGGACTCCAGCTTGGGTGGCACCTGGCACCTGCCTGGCTTACTATAAGGTGAGTAGAGCCCCCTTCTCCAGATGTAAAGTCTGCACCTAGGGCTGGACATCCACCACCCAGCCTCAGAATTCCAGCCATTCTGTGATTCATTTCCCAGCCTGGGTTTTTACTCTTCTTGGAAGGATGCTGGTCTCCCAACTGCAGACAACACCTCTGACCTCTGTCCCTCTGTCTGAGACTGTCACTGCACCTACTTTCTACCTCCCACTCCGCCCCTCCCAGAATGAGGGACCCTCTCCACTCCGCAGACACGGAGGGCTGGTGCCAGGCTCCAGTCCCACGGGCAGCAGCCAGCCTGGGCCTGCAGAGAGAGGGGAGCTCTCCAGGCAGCCGGACGCTTGCATGGGAGCTTGACGGGAGTGACTCAGGAACCGGGGATGCCACTGCCAGGGGAGGGGGACAGAAGCATCACTCTGGTGGCTGTGCACAGTTTAATCAGGAGTCATCAACTCCAGTGTTCCCAGAGGGCCGGGTGAGCAAATAAACAAGAGCAGTATTAATATTTGTAAAGCGCCTAGAATAGCACCTGCAACAGAGAAAACAGAAAGAAGCACATTTCTGAAGCGCCTTCTGCCTAACCAACAGCGGCACTGATGACAGTCACTGTTCGCTGCTTGTCTCTCCCTGCCGGGACGCAAGCTCCAGGGGGGTAGGGGGCTTGTCTTTGCTTGAATTCCCAGATGGTGCCTGGCACACAGCACACACTCAACATGCGGGGAGGCCAGCAAAGCAGATGGCACAGGAGGCCCGGCCGACGGGTGGCACCAGGTAGCACCAGCTGCAAAATGCGGCTGGATTTTCTGATTGTTTTCAAAGAGAACCTGGAAATTCCCATTGTATTGTGCAATCTCCTCATTTTAAAAATGGTGTTTAAATTAGCACATCTAAAGGCTTTGGGGAGTGACTAGGGCAGAAAGCAGAGTGCACCTGGACCCCTGGATCTCATGTGGGCCAGTGCTGGGGCAAGAGAGAGATGGGGCTGGGACTACCAGCCCTCACCATACGGAGGGGTGGGCAACACCTCCTCTTCCGTGCCTACAATCCCCAGACAGCGCAGCTGGAAGCAGCTGGGGCAAGCCTCCCTCACCAACTCCCACAGACGGCTGGGTGGGCAGCGGCTCACCTCCTTCAGCAGCAGGGCGACAACACAGCCCACATGGAGCTCTGCCCGCGCGCTGCTTGGCGTGGGGCTGGTGCTCAGCGGAGGGAAAGGCAACCAGGGTAGAGCGGGCCAGGGGAAGGGTTTTACCTCGGAGAGCAGTTTCGAGACAATTTCCAGCGGGGCCTGGTTGATGGAGTCATCCTGCAGGGGGGACGTCAGGGCCATGTCCACCAGGGTCCGGATCTCTTTCAAGACAACCTCCCAGCGGCTTGGGTTACTCAGCACTTTTTTGTATTTGTAAATCTTTTTCTGGTTGAAAGAGAGAAAGTGACAGGAGCATGTTACTCATATAAGGAGGGCAGAAGATGGAAGATGATCAAAGAATCAGATGGGTTAGGGTGAAAAGGGCCCTGAGAAACTGCCAACTTGGCCCACTCCGCGTATACGGAAACTGACACCTTGAGAGAGGAAGGGGCTCGTCCAAAGCCACACGGTGTGTCTGCAGCCAGGCCTCCTAACACCAGACAGTCCTTCCCCACACAGGCTCACTCACCCCGATGATAACCCTTGACAGATGACCTTTTTCTTTTTTTTCCTGTTTTTTTTGTTTTTGTTTTTGTTCAAAGGATGAGAAAAGTGAGGTACCCAAGAGGTTAGAAAATTTGCTCAAGGCTCTAGAGCTGGCAAAGCTGGGACAGAAAACCACGCATTCCGACTGTAAAGCCAGTACCCTCACCACCATGCTGTATGTCGCCCACAGTTTCCACTGACTTACAAAAGAAAACGGGGTGATTTCTCTTTTAGATCATGTCTTCTGCCAACTCATTCCCCAACTATTCAAGTGCAGTAAGAGTGGGAATGGGTCAGTCCACAAAGGGGCTTTCGCTGAGTTGAAGGCACTATTTCCGCCTACACCAATTCCAAGAGGTCCCTTGGAGAGAGGTAGTCAGCTCGGGAGCACGACAGACAGGATTGAGCCGATGGGAATTCAACTCTTGCCAGGTAGGGACTGAACCCGGAATGCTCCCCCCCGGAAACCCAGCGCCGCCCTCTGCATCCACCTGGTGAGGAAGACAGGAGAGCTCTCACCTTTGCTGGGTGCTGTGTCGAAGCCAGAGAGTGGCTGAGGCAGGGGCTGCTGCCTCCCTGGATTTGAGGCAGAGCTGGTTCCGCCTCTCTGACATCATGGAAACAAGGCCTCGGAAGGCGAGGTCTGGGCCAAGCACTCCCCCACCCCCCCCCCGCTGGCCCACTGCACCAGGCCTGCTTGGGAGACTATCTAAATGGATGAACTCCTTCATTAAATGCGCTGTTCCTTGGGGAGAGCCTAATTTTAGTGTTAACATGCCAGCAACCAGCTGGGGTGACATGTCACAATCTTTGAGCCAAACTCAGAAAGAGGAGGGGGGAGAGGAGGGTCCCTTGTTGACCTCTGAGGCTCAAACAGAAACCTACAGGCTGCCAGAGTCTCCCTGACCACTTAGTTTCTGAGTCAGGAATTATCAAGTGGTCTTGGGATCCACTGCTACCAAGGAAGCATTTGGGAGGCACATTCCATGCCAAGTTGAACATTTATTGTGCGGGTGAGGCCCAGTGGTGGGACGGGAGGTACACCGGAGTTGGACACGTCTGGTTGTTACTAGAAAACTTTCACCTTCGGAGCCTTAGGGTCCTGTTCTGTAAGTCAGGCTTGAAGAAACTCGCATCTCTTTCAGTCTGTAACCCTCATCCATCCTGGACCCATGTGGTCCAGTCTCTTCATGGAGCGGCATTCAAAAGGAAAATCCAGACAAAACAGCCAAGACTAACAAAAAGGAACTCTGAGACTTAATCTGTCTCTCGAAAAACTGAAGGAGATCAAATGTAAAGCCTAGGCCAATAAGGCATCCCAGCTTCCTCCTCTCCATTATTTTCCCACACCCCATGATTTTCTGGGGCCTCTGATACACTCATTGACACTGGTGTCACCCCTGTGAACTCACGCCAAAGACAGTTTTCAGTCCCCCCGCCACCCCAGGCCTTTCCCATCATCTCCCCCTCCTCCTCTCTCTGCTCCTTCTTCCTCCTTCTCTATTGTTTTCATCTACACCCTACCCACCTTTCTCTCCTCTTTCCAGAACACTGGTCTTACTGCTCTTTGCCCATTCACCCATTCCACATCAAGAATTAGAAAGAGACCAGCTCTTCTCATAGGCCCAGCAGGGCAGAGGAGGCCAAGGCAGCCCAGCATTCCCCAGGCAGGAGGAGGTGAAAGGCCAGAAACATTCACTTGCCAACCATTTGAGATCCTACAAAGATGGGAGGAAACGCAGGGCAAGCTGTTGTGGGGGCGTGTATGGTAAAGAGTGAACAGGCTGCTGATGTTGATGGTGGTGACAATGACTACCGGCTGAGCTTCATTAATGACAAGATGCACCCAGTCCACCGAGTCTCCGGAACCATAACCAGCCTCCTTCCCAGTTACCGTCAATGGAAGCCGCCCTGTCCCATTGCTGTGAACAGGACACGCTGCCTGAACAGCACAACCATGTCTGTGCAAAACATGAGATGTCTGAAGCAAGAACCCTACCCGTTCAGAGGATGAATGCTCCTTTGAGCCTTAGTCTGTGGTTTCTTAGTTTGCACCCAGAGAATTGTTTAATTTTTAAAAGACCGTGAAATGATCACACAAAACCCACCGTGTATCAGGCCCCAAAGCAAACCACAGCGGTCCACACCCGTGTCTCCCCACAGCAGAATGAGGATTTGCATGGAGTCTGGGCTCTAAGTGCACTCTCTTCTGATCAGTTGCACGGTATTTACTTTTGAAAGACTAATGATTTCATTCTTTTGGTAAAGGTGATGCATGCTCACTGCAAAAAAACCTAAACCATATTGAAAAGCACAAACAAGAAGATAAGTTTTAAAAGGCCTCAAAAAGCCCACAACCCAGAAATAGCCACCATTAATATTTGGTGAACATCGTTCCAGGGAAGTCTCATTTAAACTCTGCAAAATACAACCAGCCCTGCGGTGGGCAGCCGTGAGTACAATCTCCTGCTCTCCACACACAGATGCCACTCGAGATGCAGAGGCAACCAGTCTGAGGCACAGCAGGGCCCACTGGGCAACACCGGCGCCAACGCAGCTCCAGAGACGAGCCCGCGTAGTGGTGCGCCCAGCCTCAGCTCATCCACAGCTCCCCTCCTTCAAGCGCGAAGGACAACAGCTTTTCCAGGAGGGCCTGGGCCCTTGCTTCCCAGGCATTCATGGGAGAGTCTGCAGGAGCTGCATTCAGAACCAGAAGGTCCCAGGGCTTGTACCAAGGGCTAACATTTCATGTGTATGTACCATGTGCCAGGCACTGTGCTAGCTCTGTGATAACAGGGCTTTATCTCACTCAATCCTCATGGTATCCCATGAACTGGGGGCTTGTGACAGGGAAGACCCTGAGACAAGGGACCGAGTGCAAATGCCTTACTGATTTGAGCAGAGACTGCAGGAAACACTGGTGGGGAGAGTGGGGAAGTGAGACGGGGAAGAGAAGATGGTCAATAAATGGGGCATTGGCAAGCACCATGGTGTGGGCGATGGGGGCTGAGTCCTCCTGGGGGCTCTAAGGGACAGTGCAGATCACACTCAGAGATGATTTCCCTAAGGAGAGAGGGAGCCGGGCATTTGTCCATCAGCTCCCTAAACTCTTCAGGGCTTCTTTCTTTTTTTGAGACACAGTCTTACTCTGTCACCCAGGTTGGAGTGAAGTGTGTGATCTTGGCTCACTGCGGTCTCCACCTCCCGGGTTTAAGTGATTCTCCTGCCTCAGCCTTCCAAGTAGCTGGCATGACAGGCACGCGCCACCAAGCCCAGCTAATTTTTGTATTTTTAGTAGAGATGGGGTTTTACCATGTTGCCCAGGTTGGTCTTGAGCTACTGAGCTCAAGCGATCCTCCCACCTTGGCCTCTCAAGGTACTGGGATTACAGGCATGAGCCACCGCGCCTGGCCAACTCTTCAGGGCTTCTGACTGCTCTGTGCCCAGGCCAAAGTGATCCCAGAGCCACAAAAAAGCACGCGCTCATGCAGGGCTGCAGGTGTCAACGGTGAGCAGACTGCAGCCCTCACGTGATGCTGAGGGCGTGGCCAGCTGCAGCTGCTGCCAGAAGACTGTTAGTGTTCTCTGTGCACAGAAGCCTATCATGGCCCTGAGAAGAGAAGCGATTTGCCCAGAGTCAAGCAGCAAGAAAGCGACAATTCAGAAGCGAAAACTGGCTCTGGCCACTCCAAAGCTCTTTCCATCACATCAGCGAGAGCCAGCGGGTTTGGGTGGAGAGGTTATCAGATTTGCTAAGAGATCCTGAAGAAGGTGTGAAGAATGCTTGGTAGCATAGGGGCAATAGCCAGGAACAAGCCCAAGAGGCTCTAAGGCTGGCGGCCAGGTGACCAGAGGCGGCGGAAGCAACAGGGGGAGGGTGAGTGTTGCATTGTGGGTACGGGCGGGCTGCAGGCAGACCCTGTTCCTAGAAGAGGCTCTGAGCTCCGGATCAGGGTGGCCAAAGGGATGAGGGAGACCTGCCCAGGATCAACAGGGCCCTGTCCCTCCTCCTTAGGTGACAAATTGGCATGTCTCATCCCAGGAACTCTGATGAGCTCATCAGGTGATGAATCATGGAGGAGCTGGGACAGGGACGCCTCCGGAATCCCTACTCCAGGCTCCCTGGAGGCTGGCCCTCATCTTTGCAATATGTTCTTCCTCCTGAGCATGCTTTGCCAGGTGGGATGGGGGGGCCTGGTGGTTTATCTAGCATGGACCCCTCAGGCTACTGGATTCCTTTGAAGCGGGGTGTAGACAGGGGTTTGGAACTGCTCTGTGGCTGGGCACATGACCTGTTATTTCTAGAAAGGGGCTGACTTAGAGCAGGGTTGGGAAACTATAGCACGAAGGTGAAACCCAGCCCCTTCCTAGTTTCTGTCTGATGAAACCAAGAATGGTCTCACAAGCTGTAGGAGTTATGAGGGAAAATAAACACAGGATATGCAACAGAAATCGAATGTGGCCCACAAAGCCCCAAATATTTGCTATCTGGCCCTTTCTAGAAAAAAGTTTGCCAATCCCTGGCTTTAAAGGTCAAATCCCAGCCTAGTAGTAAGCAGGCGAAATGGTGCTCAACACCATTAGTCCTCGGGAAAATGCAAGCTGAAACAGTAAAGAGATACCACTCGCCCCACGAGGGCAGCTGTGAGAGAAAGAGACAGACAGCGTCAAGTGCTGGCGACGACGTGCAAACTGGGAAGCTCATGTGTTGCTGGTGAGAAGGTAAATTGGTACAGCCA